GTGTGCAAGGTATTAAAAGTTTTTAATTAAAAAAAAAAGCAGAAAATATTGCATTTCATTCAGCTAGATAAGACTCAAACAATGATACTGAATTTGGTTCTCAAAGGAGGGGGCGCGTGCCCACTCAGGTACCTGGAGCTGTTATAAGTGGGCGAATTGAGACAAGTTACATTCAATGTACAGGCGGTCCTCAGTTTACGACGTACGTACATATGTTGGATTGTGCTGCATTTGCTATCTTTCTTTTTTTTTAGGAACTTTTTGCCGTTCATTATGGCTCCCAGGCGTAAGTCAGACTCTTCTCTAGATTATGATGTCACCCTGAATGCCCTGAATCAAACAATGCTCTAAAGCTAACTTTAGGATAAGCGCTTTGCACCCTGCACGACGTGACTCCCGTCATTCCAAAAACCAAAATATGAACGTCCCTCTTGTAGAGTCTTTAATTTATCTCCTTAACCAACGAGGAGGATTATAATCTAAGCTTCAGTACATATTCACCGCAGCGTCTGCTGGTTCTGTGTGAGCACCTGTCGGGGCAAATATTTTGTCAAAGTTTTATTAATATCCCAAGTGACAAATCCTCCGTACGCCACTCCCAACACCAACCAAGAAGCAGCAACCTTCTAATAAAGATGGTGTTGACTTTGCACACCGGGGCACATCGTCTCATATTAATATGCAATGGACACAGGCAGCTGAGAATCAGAACAGGAGGTTTTGTTTGCACATCAATATGAGCCGCGCTAGATTTAATCAGTAGGATAAACAACCAAAAAAAAAAAAAGAAAAAAAGTACATTATTGCATATACGTACGATTCCCTCTTCACCTTAAAGCCACGCTCCAGATTCTTATTAATTTCAAAAAGCGTATAGAAGTCAATTCCCACCAACACGACTGCTGCTGCACACGCCGTGACTTAAAGACCTTGGGAAACCTGTTGTGAAGTCTTTCTCTGAAATCTGAACAAATGTGAGCGACGTGCCTGGTTAAAACGTCTCTAATTGTTGACTCAATTCAAACACTCTGGTTTTCAAATCACTGACAACAAAGATGTTGAGAAAACCGTTTTAAGTAGAGCCGACCTTGCTTCTCTTTACTTCTCCTCTGCATAATACTTGAATTGTGTCTGAAGCACAAAAGAGTTCATTTATGTGTTTTGTTTTTAAACTCTGAAGACTGCCACGGAACTCGGTAACATGTTGATCTGGACGCATAAAACACAGTAAAGCTGGCTGAGGTAATCAAAACGACAAATAAACCCCAGGGCATTATGGGAGTCAGGCGACCTCTGAGCTGGCGCTAGCTTTTTACAGATCTTTAAACTTGTACTCCATTAAAAACCTGTTTTACCACAGTTTATATCATGGTACTGATGGTGTGTCCTGTCGTTTTTGGAAAATATTAGCCAGCTAGATTTACATCTTGCAACTCAAAAAAAGTACACAATAGCTGCAGTCCCAATCCTAGCTTAATCTTGTTCCACTCTGGTCACATGATTTTTCCACAAAGCGAGAAAACACCTGTTGACTGAGTTAAAAAAATATCATTTAAAAATTCTGGGTTTTATTGACATTATTTCAGCTGTAGAGTTGTAACGATCTCCGTGGTTTCTGGAGAGTGTCATGTCCAAGGAGACTTTTCAGCCGGACTTTCATTTACCTGACTGTAAAGTTGTTGTTGTGTAATCCAGTGTTAGAGAGCAGAAATCCTTCAGCATCTGTCTGTCTAAAGTCCAACAGGTTCAGTAACTGAGCACTTTAAATGCTTTTACACCAGGAAAGCTTGCGTTTCACGTCAGGACCCGAGCTCCCACCAAGTGTGGATCTGTGTTTTTGTTGCGATGTCAAAGAGGAAAGAAGGACACGGGCAAGATTGTCTTCATCTGTACAAGAAAATAATAAAAAACCTTTTATTTATGAAAATGTGTAATTGTGAAGTATAAACATTGTGTCAAAATTGTGACCAATATCTGGCCTTAAAAACAGTACATTTATCTTTTAGTTTTATTCTAAACCTTTGCACGCCTCTGCACGTCTCCCACATGTACAAGTTCAACAGTAAGATAGCTAAAGAATCAGCAAAGAAAAGGAGGAGGAGATAGGAGTGTAGCTACAATATAATGAAGAACATTTTCTAAACCTTCACTGCTGCTAATACGAAGAAATGTATCTCTGTTTTGTCCAAGTTTGTCCTCTGTTTGTCTTATTTAAACAACAACCAAAGACTTGATTTAAAGCTAAGCCAAAGCAGGGACCCGACAGGGCCGGGAGGAAAGGCCTGAATCACACATAGCTTATTGATTTTGAATTAGACCAAAGTGCTTAATTGTTCTTATTTAACCAGGGCTTGTAGGACTGGAGCTTAATGCCGTCTTTATCTTAAAAGTAAACGTTGACTCGTCCTCTCAGACCTAGTTTGGTTGTCTCCTGCTGTGAATTCAGTCAACAAAGGATGCTAGCTAGTTTTATAGGTTAACTACCTCAACTGCTGCTGTAGCGTTATGGTGACTGTGGTTTTTTTATGTGTTATGTTTTTATTTAAACTGAATTCATTCATTCATTTGATGGATGTATTAATTTCCTTTTTATTAACTTAGTTGAAAGAAGTCTTTCCTTAAGCGATCGGGGGCTATCAGTGAGCTACAACATGGCTAACTGACCTTAACCGTTTGCTAAAAATAGATGTTTTTTGTTTGTTTGTTTGCTTTATTTGCTGTCACCATGGCTGGTGAAGACTTAAGGTTAGGTTGGTTCGGGAAAATTCTAAGCAACTCTTTTGAACTTACCTCTGCCTAGAGTTCGGCTGTTGCTACAGCTAATCAACAAACAATGCAATGGGCGCACGAAAACGTGCACCTGTTGCATTTTTTTATATCACTTAGTATTGACTGAGATTACGATCATCAAAAAAAAAGTGTGTCATTGTGACATCATATTGAACTGATAGATTCATGTCACATGACCACTGACCAGAAGAGAGCAGTGACGTGATGTGATCAAGTCCACTAGACATCTTTGTCCCTTAATAGAACCAATTCAAACAGTGTTTCCCAAAACTTTTTTTCTGGGCACCAATAATTTAGAAGCCACAACCATTCACGACCTAAGTCAATAGACATTATTCATGATGTGAGACGACCCCACCTGTGACCCACCTGAGGGACACGAGCCAGTCTTTGAGAAACATTGAATAACTACTTAGGTTACATTGTGTAAAAAATAATGTAATTTCTTATCACTGACATGTTACAAAAAATACATATTACAGTTGACCAGTATTTGTCATGTGTGTTTTTGAATATATTAACATATTTATATTGGTATCGGCATCAAAATAAAAAGCCAAAAAAAGTCATCAGTACAGTGTAATAGTGTAGTGTACAGTCTTTCTGCTGTGTGTTCCAAAACAGAAACAAACCAAACAGTGACACCAGCTGAAACATGAACTGGTTTCCTGCTGGATTCCTAACTTATCCTGTGGTTTCATTTATGCTCATCTGGCAAAAAGTATCCTGTGGTTTCATTTATGCTCACCTGGCAAAACGAAAAAAAAAAGACATTTATGCAACTTCACAGACAACATTTCAAGGTTATTCTCTCTGATACTTTACCACTGTATCACTCTATCTCTCTGCTCCCCTTCACACACACACACACACTTCAAAATGGATCTATTGTTTCATTTGGCATTGTGGCTTCTGTTTCCTCCCCAGAGAGAGGAAAAAGAAAGAGAGGTCTTAATTAGTCCAGACAGGTTATTTAGAATCTGTTCCAAATGTCCTACAGCCAGAATGGCAAACACACACACACACACACACACACACACACACACAGGGAATGGCCCAGGCCAGACGTACCAAGTGTGATTATCTCCTTTTTAGTCATAAAACCTCTACTTTGTTTGTCTCATCGTCTTGATATATGATAGATGGTTCATCTAAATCCCTATTCAGCCAGTCTCTCCTCTTTTTTTTTTAAGTGAGGTGAGCCACCAGAGTCAGATCATTCTCTAACTTTCCTAAACTTCCTCTTTCTGCGGACCTTTTGTTCCGCGGCTGAACGTTTGGCCTTCTGTGAAAAAGACCTACGGTGAGATTGAAACCATAAATCTGCTTGACAGAAAAAGGCCCGGGGTTTGAGTGACCCTCTGGTCGCTCGTGTAGCTTTAATATCAACATGAAGAACTATATGTGCCATTGGTGCGCCCGCAGTCATTTATTTCACGAGAAAAACTTCGTGAGGAGATAATCCCAAACTGAGGTTTCATTTGGGGAATTACTTGACTGATTTGTCAGAACTGAAGAGGTTTTTTTTTATTTTTTTTTTATTTTTTTAGAGTTGGTTTTGTTTGTACCTTTTATTTTTATATACATTTTTTTTTTTTACAATATATATATATAGTTTGACTAAGGCGCGTAGAACCACAGATAGCTGTACTTGAATTGCTAAAATACTTGAAAATGAAGAAATATATATTTGATATATATTTATATATATTATTTAATATTATACATTTATATATTTTTAAAAAATATATATGGTTTTACTAAGGCGCAGATAGCAGATTGCTAAAACACTCAAAAATGCAGATATATATACTTTATATATGTGTGTATATATATATATATATTTATACAGATATATAATTTTATTTTTATTTTATTTTAATTGCTTATGATCTACCAGTACTTTCTTTTCAATCTACTGGTTGATGAAGATCTACTTATTGTCATCCATGGTGTAGACAAATGGCTAAAACATACAAGCTAACCGAACTTTAGACTAGCAGCAGCTGCAATTTGACAAAAGGGCTAACTGTTAACGAGTTAAGAGCTAAATGTTAACTGGAAAAGCTGCAAATTTAGACAAACATTTTTTTCATGACCCTATAAACACGTACAGGGAACACGAATACGTCATTATCATTCCTGTAGTAACACACTGTCAACAAACAAATCTGTCCATTACATGTTTGTCCTCTCTCTTTTGCCCTCAGGTCCGTGCCAGCGCCATCGCCCAAGACGCGGACCAGAACTACGACTACGCCTCCAACAGCGTCATCCTCCACCTGGACGCAGGTGATGAGGTTTATATCAAACTGGACGGAGGCAAAGCCCACGGAGGCAACAACAACAAGTACAGCACATTCTCTGGCTTCATCCTCTACGCTGACTGAGAACAGACAGACACACAGACGGACAGACAGAGACAGTCAGACGGACAGAAAGGGTTTGACAGGAGTGATACAACGAGAAGGCAAGAGGGTGTGTGTGTGTGTGTGTGTGTGTGTTAACAGCTGGAATCCTTTCTAGTTTTTTCTAATTCTCTCCATCATCACGGACACCTCCGCTTCGTATCCATCAGCCAAGACACCCAGACTCTGCAGCCGAGTCTGGATCCAAATGTTCCTGAGGGCGCACAGAGAGGGGGCCGTTTGGTCAGGGAGCGTGGGCGGAGTGGGATGGGTTAAGGAAGTGGGCTGTCTTTTTTCTGCAACATAATGCTGACATGTCAGGAAACCCGCGCTTTCGGTGTCCCTACTCCTCAGCACCTTCATCATTGCACAGAAATATCAGCGAGAAAAATAAGCGAAAAAAAAAAAAACCCTGCAAATGTGGACGATCTCGCCTCTTCTCTCCAGCGGTGGTCGCCACTCTCAGCTCAGTGGACTCGACTGACTGTATCTTGTAGCGTTGTTCCGTGTAACTCTCCTTAGATTGTGCTCTTATTTTATGGACATGCATAATAACCCACACCAATGAGATTTACAGAAAAGAAAAAAAAAGAAATATATTTGTCTTGTGTGATGATATCCTGTTTGACAGAGAATAAATTTGTGAGACATAACTTGTGCGCAACTCAGAGATCTTTGAACTCGAGAATAAATGTAAGTCTCCATCACTGACTATTACAAGGGAATTATATAGAAAATATATACACATATATAATGTTTATATGGAGAAAAACACCATATCTTACACTGTATCTTCTGATATATCTAAAACTGAAGCCAATCTCCCCATAAAGTACCTCATACAAAACAGCGTTGTGAAAGTCATCTGTTAAATGTCTATGGTTTGAATCACGCAGATGCCAATGAACCCATGGGAAGAAACTGATCTGAGATCAG